CATCGGACTATAATTATAGATTATCCTCTACGAATGAAAACAATTCACTTTGGTAATCCGATTCGATACGTCACACGTCGTAACAGATCAGTAAGTGTCCTGATACTTATATATGAAACAAGAGTGTACATATAATAATAAGTAGATAACTTCTTAGGTTTTATTAAGTATTATTACTGATAGACATACATGATTGATTTACCATTATTGTGATAAGCTACGTGGGTGATGAATGAATTTGTAAATGGTGAAGGTTGAAGGGTCGAGTACACAACTTCGAGTCAAGTGTGAAATTGTTTGGCAATAGGCAGCGTTTCGTACCAAAAAGAAAAAAAAGAAAAAAAAAAAACAAAAATGGTGATTACAGGAACGAAAACTCGTGTAATTGCAATGACTTCTCTAACTTTACTCGCTCGCTATTTTCTGAGTCTAATGTAACTCGTACGAGTAACTTCTGATTAGAAGGATGTATCAAGCGATTACTTTATAAGTAATAAAAAGATTTCTGATTCTCGAACCTGTGGATTTTCTTTGTTCTCCCTTGCTCCTGTAACTATAACACACACACACACACAAACATACATATCTGCTCGAAGATTTTAGGATTTCCATCTATTTCTGTTCGTTTCAAAATTGAAAAGCAAAATAACACTTTGTAGAGAGAACACTTTCTAGATTTTACATGTAAGATTTTTATACAACTTGATTTTCAGTTAATTCTTATAATCGTGTACAAAAATATTATGCTGCAAAATATTAATTATTCGTGTAGACCGTGTTACAGAAACAAAGTAACATATTAACGATACTGTGAAAACATGAATGTAGAATCTGTTTCAACATCGCGGATTTTTTCCTGATATTCTACACAACCGAGGTATATTATTCTCACGATAAAATTAATTTGTAATGTTTCATACATATATACTGGTAACAAAATTAATTTATAATATTCCACGTGCACGTACTCGCAACGAAATTAATTTTTAATCAACGACCGTGATAGTATTGTGCGCAATACGTAGAAGTAGCGTGTTTCACTTGTCTGACGAAGGACGGCATATTTCACTGTAGTGTGTAAAGAATACACGTTCAGGAAGCTACTATGTCTGACCTTTCGTCGCAGAAATTAATATATTACCAATGTTTTGCCATGAAGAAGAGTATATTTTGAGTGTTCGTATTGAGTCAAATATTAAAATATGTTAAGCGTGTTTGTTGACGAGAAACGAAACATCGAATGAATATATTTATAAAAATCTTTTGAAACAAATGTTCAAATATTCTCGCGCGTCAAAAGGATTTATTAAATATTTCGATAACCTCGTCTCGTAAAACACCGCGCTAATTTGCATTTATTAATTAACAGGCATTGATCGGCTAATCCCATTTCGAACTGAAAGTAGATTAACGGGAAAGTTTCGCAAGAGTCGATATTGATCCCAGAGAAGTTGCCAGATTATCCACTTGTTTTTCCCATCGGCGAGAGCTTTCCAACTACTTTCCGAAATTAACTTCACGTTGTGACTTCCGTTCGGCCGATCCGAACTCTACGAAGATTTTCTACGAAGACGAACTTTCTCAACTACTATCGGATCGAATCATCGACGTCGTCTAATTACCCACGGGCATCGAGATTTTACCAAAAACATTATTTCTTACAATAAAACGATTTTAAAGTTTGATCGGTTTTATTTTCACGAAATCTGTGATTTTATCTGGATTTGGAGACAAATACGTGTATATGTTTTTTTATTCGGTTTGTTAAAAATTTAATAAATTTAATTTATTGAATTTCATTACTTACTATACCGCGAATAAACCTTTTGGGATTGCATTTTCGATTTCATCGAAACTTCGGAAATAAAATGTGAAATTTTGTGTACAGCTTATTAAAAATTTAATCTAATCATTAGATTGCGAACGTTAATAAATTTTGAGGAAATTTCAGATTTGACTAAAAAAAAGGTGGTTTTATTTAGCTTTGGAATTAAAAATCTAATTGAAAATGGAGATTTGTGTACTTTGAGATAATTTGAGACTGCTGAAATTATTTTACCAAAAGTTGTGAGTCTATTTGAGTTTAGACACAAATCTGTATTTGCAATTTAATCAAAATTGAACGCCGTTATTACGACTTTGACGTCGTCCATATATTTTTGCAAAAAAATTCCATTTTACCAACGCTGGACACCTCATTCAAATAACTGTTTCTTAAATGGTTTTAAAATGATTTTCCACGTCTTGACATTCAAAAAATATATTTCTTGTTCCCTCGTGATACGAGAGATAAATATACTTGTTTACAAAGGCCTCGATAGATCGTTAGTTAGTTGAGAATCGTTTGCATAATGAATGCTAACGATTGTTCAATTAACTTCGAAGAAACGAAATTCTTCAATTTGTACACTAATGAGATTTAGAGTTAGCCGTGTTCTTTCTTCTATGCAAATGAAATGCAACAAGTTACGGAAGAAGAACCCTCTCTAATTAACGTCCGTTTGTTCTCCTTTGTGTCCTCCTCTTTTTAGAAAACTTTTGTTCCTTACACATTTAATGGGAAGAGCCTTCGTTTGGTTTCATTGTCCTCCTATTATGTCGCGAGCCAAACTTAAAATTACACAGAAATCCATTATCTTGATAATAACATCTTAATAATATTATAATTCCAAGATGACACAATAGGAATGATATTAATTTTCGAACAATTGTCTATTTTTAACGTACAAATAAATATTTAAATATCTAAGTTATCAATAATATCTGAAAGCTATTGATATTTTGTACTTAATTTCGAATAGTATAATTTATTTTGAACACGGTCCAATCTAAGCAATAATTTATTGAACTTTTATAAATATCCACACTCAACAGTCGGATAATTATAATTATTTATCGGGGAATAAAAGAAATTTTTTCTTTAACACTGGGACTGCCGACATAAAACGCGAAAACAAAATTTTCCACCTGCATTAAAGTAAAAAATATAGGAAAGCTTCATAGTGCAAGAAACTGCGCAAGCTTCGATCTGTGTATTTCACAAAAAAAAAAATCATTTAAATCTCTGAAAAAAAGATAGAGTTTCGCCATATTTTCGTCTTCTCGATATTATCGAATCACAGACCACTAATCGCGTGGCTGAGTAATTTTTTTATTCGTTTATTATTCAGTTTTACTTCACCCAAAATCACGGAAAAATAATATAATATTCGCGGTGTAACGTGACCCGAGAGATTAGCATCCCTCCCAGTTTCGAAATTTATTAACAACGTAACGATACCCTGCTGCATTATAAACAGGCGCACGCGAATTTCTTAATCGCGACAATTTTAACGTACGCGAACGTATCGGATGGCGCGGGGAACGATCGAACGCATGTGCAGCGTTCTCGTGCCCTCGAGAAGTATGGTCGAAGAGTGTCTATATTTCCCAGAAAATGAGGCAACTCTGGCGAATAAAATCGTAAATACAGATGTTGTAAAACAAGCGTAAACGGGCGAGCGTAAACGTGCAACTGAACGTACTCCAAACACACTAAAACATGCATAAACATTTCGCAACGTAAATTACGAGGAGAAACAGTGCGCTCGAGTATACCTGAAACTCGGTCTGTTGTAAATTTTTTCCGATGAGAAAGTTCCAAAAAAAAAAAAAAGAGAAAGAAAGAAAGAAAAAACGTATTTGATCGTAATATGGTTGTTCTTTACTTTACGTAACTTTTTTTTAAATTCTAGGGAATTTTAATTCTAGTATTTTAATAAATATTATGTATTTCACAAACTTGCGGTTAAACTTTGTTATTAAGGTTTATTAACGAAGCGCGGTGTTTGACGAAACTATGAAGCGTTGATGAAAAATCGTCTGTATGTTAAATTATTGTAACTTCGCGAAGTAATAAACTCGTGCAACATTTAGGCTCTCGGTTGGCCTCGTGGTAAAGCGTGAAGCCTCGATTTTGCCAACCTTGAGCTCGTTTTTCCCACCGTGCAGCAGGGATACTTTTTGTTGTCGATAATCGTGAAAACCTGAACGTTTCTAAAATCAGTAAAAATTCTTTTTTCATAACTGGGTCTTCTCGTGGTCTTGAAGATTAAATCCCCTTTAAAAATCCCTTAAAATATGCAGTACTCGTAGCATAGTAGTTACACTATAGTTTTAATTGAAGTGCTGAGGAATTTTATTTGGTAATCGATATGGAATAAATGGATATTTTTTTAAAGTTCCAAGATTATATATTTATAAGTATATTTTTAAAGTTCCAAGATTATATTTATATTCCAAGATAATTATAAATATTCCAAGATTATATTTATAATTATATATTTAAATTATTAAAGTTCCAAGATTATATATTTATATATTTATACTACTGAAGACAAATAAAGGTAATATTTTCGTGAACTTGTAACTTTTTTGATTAGTCAGTGACAAAGTGTTTTTAATTATATAATTCTTGTTTGGAATTTTCTAAACGAGAAAGAATAATAATATTACTACGTAAATAACTATGATCATTTTTATGAATTTTCTAATTTTCTATAATTACAATATTTCCTGAACGTTGTTCGTATGTATCTCTGTGAGTGAATATTCCCACTGTATTTTAATTACAATTCTCGTTTGGAATAAAAACACAACAAATATCAGATATTGTTATTATGGAAATATGATCCTTTCGTTCTTAAATCTTCGAAATAGTTCTCCATATTCATTTCTGAATATTTACACTGCACTTCAATCGCGTTTCTCGTTTAGAATTTTCCAAGCGGCAATAGAAATTACAATAGTGCCACTAGACAGACGATTCAAATATTTTCGCAGAAACATAGAAATCTGCATTTTCCAATTGTCGAAATATTTTTCACGTAAACGTTTTCGATTATTCCCAGTGTCCTTCAGTTATTATTCTCGTTCGTAATTTCCCAAGTAGAAACAAAACTGACAGCGCCACTGGACAAACAGATATAGAAATCGTGTTTCTAACGTTTCAAAGTAGTCGCTCCCATTTGTCTCTCATTTTATATTATAGTGTATATTTGATTGGAATTCAACAATTGAGATAATTAAAATAATTACAACGTGTTACTGGACAAACAAATTCGATTGTTATTTGGCGTTGCTAGATTCCTGGTATCGATATATGAATTAAGTAGAACAATTAACAGTATACTGCAGAATAGTAAATTACGTTTCACAGTTATAATTATGATATGCAAATCATTTTGCATAAATCATACCTTTAATTAGCAATGCAATCGCACGGCTATTTGTAATTCAAATAAAACTAAATTAATTTTAGATGAAAAGCGATCCCTCGTCGTAGCCAGTCGTCGTGATCCTCTCTGCGACATCCAACCGGAAGTGAGCAGATTAACGCATCTCTTTGCGAATTCGCGTAAACCGGGACGTTGAGAGTATCGTCCGGATTTCTATTTTCCAGACAGTCATTCAGCGTTTTGTTTCTCCCTTGGTCGTCGTTGTAACTCTCTGGCAAGAATGCGATTTGACAGCTGGGCGCGGTCGCAACGGACGCTGCATTCGCATCGAGATCCTTCAGGACGCCATCTTCTATCAGAGCTCCTGAATATCGAAGAAATTTCACGTCAATTGAACAAAAATTCGCGTTCGTTTCGATTTTTTTCTTTCCACGTAAAATTTCTCCTATTTTCTCGAATTAATTTCGTCGTTATTCTTATCGTCAGGTTGTGAAATAAATTTGTTCGCTGACACGTATGGTATCTAATGTATGGTTGATCATTCTTTATAAACGAGTCGAGTAATTTTTTCAAAGCTCTTTTGTCAAAAAGTTGCTGCGCCCGCTTGTGAATCACGAATATTCCATTATTATAGTATAATAAATTTGATTAAATTAGTTCGACAATCGCAAGTCCAATATATATATCCCTTCAGTATCTCGAAATTATATGTTATTTCCAATTCCATACTGTGCATGAAATATTTATGGCACCTGGTTTCTTTCTATTTTTTGTCATCAAGTAATACAATTATAAACAGCGTTTAACATACTTATTACGTATGTACATACGTGCCCCTCTATTTAGCATATGAACGAATCATGCATATTGTCCATTGCGGATGATGTAAACAAACAGTTTCTATAATATAGTATCTTTAATATTCAACGAATTTATCGCACAACTTAATATCGCAGATCGAAAACAGCCGAATTCGTAGAAATTAATATTCATGGGATTCCCGAATCCTCTCCGAAGTGAAAGCACACGAATTAATCATTGAACGAACGAAATTACCAGATATCAGTAGACCTTCGATGATCAACGATATTTTCCAGTCGTCGTTCCTCCGATTTTCAAGCCAGTTCACGCAAAGCCGGAGATTCTCCATAGGTTGGCGCGTTTCGCGCGCGGTGTGTTGCTTGAGAACGGTCAGGAACGCACGTGGCCTTGCCAGCCGCGACATGTCGACCACAGACGAGGAAATGGCCAAGATGGATTCCAAAGCCTGGTACCTGGACAATAATCCTTTAACGAAAGAGAGAGCTTCCTTCGGCCCGTATCTCCAGTTTCCCATCCAGCGTGCGGGAGTCTAGAAAAATTTGTCCAAAGTTCGAGCAATTCTCCCGTAACCTTCGAAATCTTGCGGAAATTTTTCCGAAATTTTCTCCAGGTCCTTTGAATCTTCCAATTTTAAATTGGAAATGATATAATAAATATAATATATAATATAAATAAATATAACTATAATATAAACAAAAAATAAATATAAATATATAATAATATATATAACATATAATATAAATAAATATAAATATAATATAAACAAAAAATAAATATAAATATATAATAATATATATAATATATAATATAAATAAATATAAATATAATACAAATATAAATGAATATAAATAAATATAAATATATATTAATATATATATAATATATAATATAAATAAATATATAATAATATATATAATATAATAAATATAAATATATAATAATATATATAATATAATAAATATAAATATATAATGATATAATAAACTAAATTAATTTTTTAAACCAACTTAGTTTATCAACTTTTCTGGATCCTTTCTTAATTTAAAAGAGATTGAATTGACGTAGGTCTCAAGGTTCGAATATTAATTTTAAAAAGTTAATTAATAACTAAACCTTAGCGTCCTCGAGACGCGAGGTTTCCACGTCAGCGCGAATGAGATTCAACGTCCTCTTGGTCAGACTCATCTCGTCGACAAAGAAACTTTGCAACGGGTTGTTACTATCACGGTGTTGCTCCATGGCCGTGGACGATCCAAAGATCGACACGTGCCGATCGATCAGCTCTTTCAAGTCTCTCTGAATTTTCGTTTCCGTTTTCTTGCTGCCCCTGCCGTCGTTGACAGACACTTTGATCAAAATACCTGTCGATATTTAAAAAAAAAAAAAAAGAAAACAAGTTGACAAGCTTCGTGCTCTAGCATCAGAGTAAATTAAAACGGAACAGAAACAAGGTGAAATGATTTTTAGAAAAATCCGACGTGAAATCGGAAAAATACAATTCGTTCTAAATTATTAAAGCGATGCTGAATTGCGCAGAATTCCTCCGTTGTTTTCGAAAATATGAAAATATTTAACAAAAATTGTTTAGTATAAAGGGAGTTATAATAAATGGACTGTTTCTTTCTTTTTTTTTTTTGCAGCTAGGAAGGATACGAGATCAGTTCAAGGTTATTTCCGATTTTTTTTTTAAATGAAATGATATAAACGTTGTCTATAAAAAAGCTATATTAACATACTAAAACACTATTAACTCGTGTACATATTTATGTGTATATTAAAATGCATGTACTTATGTACCTATTAAAACAATATTAATTTTATAATTTTTGTTTCAACAAAGTTTCTTCATATCTTTGAAAACAACTCAATATGTTGTTAAATTTATTAATTTTAGGTGAAATTTAAATTAATATTAATAGTCTAAATTTTTATATTAAAATTGAATAACAAACTAGGATTAGATACCCTATTATATTAATTTAAGAATAAAATTTTTATAATTAAATGTTGAATCATTAAAATAAAGTAATATGGCGGCCTTTTAATCATTTGAGGGGAAATTTGTTATTTAATTTGATAATCCATATATACTTAAATTTTGTCATTAAAATGTACTTATATATTGTCATTAAAATTTAAAAATAAAAATAAAAATTAAATATAGATAAAAATTTTATAAAATAATATTTTTAATCAAACGTAGTATCAATACGTGATATTCAAGACGATCACGTGAATATCCATCCCAACACTACCCGCGCAAAATTATATCTTTATAAAGCTCGAACGAAGTAAATTTGTTTTTATCTACTAACTACCACAAAATTACATCTTTATAAAGATCGAACGAAGTAAATTTGTTTTTTATCTACTAAATACCACGAAAAACTCCATTTCGCGAACTTCTTCTGTATCGTATCGAATTCTCTGCCGTTTCACAGTTTCACTGTCAACAAACCTTTCAAATGCGACAGCGCAGCCTCGGCAGCGGTCCTCTCCCAAGCTCTGTGCGCGTTCGCCGGCAATCCGAAGCACTCTTTGGGCGAGTCATTATCCGGAACGGTCTCGAGACTCTTGGCCACTTCCTCGAACGAGCCATCAACCACTTTCAGAACACCGGCCAATTTCCTCTGGCCGCGGAACACCTCGCAGCTCCAAACGTCACGGACAATCGAGCACAGCGCTCTCATATCGTAATCGTCCTGCAAACGACCGCCATAAATCGCCACGTCCAACAGTCCCCTACCAGTCTGCCAATCGCCGTCTTTGCCCCTGCTCATCGCGGACTCCGCCATTTCTTTCACCACCAATTCGTAGGCGGCCTCGAGGTCGGACTCGTTCCACTCGTACGACCTTATCCAGCCTTGAGGAACGAATTTCCTTCGTTCCTGGAGCGTTGCGTGCAGCCACGACAGCAACAGGCTGCCGGGAACGTTCACGTCTCTTCGGTGCTTCTGGTGCAGTTGCTGCAACGATCGTTTCACGTTTCTCTTCACACCCTCCGGTGGCTCGTACGCGAGCTTCAAACAGAGGCCGGCGAGGCTCGGATAGAATCCTACGCACTCCTCCGTGGTTAACCAGATCCTCGTCGCGGGATTTTTTTTGCACCAGAGCGATCTGAGGAGGCTCTCCAGTCGGGGAAGCCAGTTGAGGGCTAGGTGCAGGTTGCTGAGGAGTATCCAGCTTCCGTTTCTGTTCGACCGAAATCAGAACGGATGATCGTGATTGAATTTCAATCTAAATCTCAGTTTATTGTACTTATATTATGGTATATTTATTTATTATATTATAGTATATTGTATTGCTCACAAAAATTATATTTATTTATTTATTATATATTATATATTTAATAGAGTATATTTATTCGTTATTTATAGTATATTATACTGCTAACAATAATTATATTTATTTATTTATTATTTATAGTATATTATACTGCTCACAAAAATTATATTTATTTATTTATTATATATTATATATTTATTATAATATAATATATTTATTTATTTATTATATATTATATATTTATTATAATATAATATATTTATTTATTTATTATATATTATATATTTATTATAATATAATATATTTATTTATTTATTATATATTATATATTTATTATAATATAATATATTTATTTATCATTTATAGTATATTATACTGCTCACAAAAATTATATTTATTTATTTATTATATATTATATATTTATTATAATATAGTATTTAGTATTATAGTATATTTATTATATATTTATTTATTATTTATAGTATATTATACTGCTAATAAAAATTTCAAAATGAATATGAAGCGACAAAAGAAAGGAGGCACTTTATTTTTTTTTTATTAAACAAGAACATCAGAAAAGCAAACGACGTAATATTTTATCCCCTAATTTTTGTGAGCAGTGTATTTTCAGAAACACAGAGCGGCTGTTGCATTGAGGTTTGAAACAGTGAAGTTTTCATTTTTTCTTTTTCCTTTTTAATTTTTAGCGAACGTGACAAAGTTCGAATTCGAACGAACTCGATTGGTTTCCTTCGTTTCTACTGATTTAGCTTTCATTTTGCCATTTTGACGATTCTGCGTTCAACCTTTGACTTTCTCAATTTTTACCGAATTTAAACTTTAAACTTATTGTAACACTGTGAAATTTTCAACGAGTTGTGAAACTTTTTACGGCGCAGCATCCCGGGAAAATTTCTAGAGCATGTAACGTAATTTAAATGACGAATGAAAGAAAAGTCACGAGGGAAAGGTATCTCTAATTATTTGCAGATTAAATCCACAAAAGTGGAAGGTTCGATGTTATTTTATCACTTTATAGATGTTTAATGGACGCGTAATATTATAATACGTCAGCGATCTAGTCGGTTTACAATCTCTGGATCCAATTTCCGCCAACGAACGTGACAAAGTCGAACAATGCCTTTGAGATCTTATTATAACAATGTATAAGAACCTCTTGTGTAAACGTAAGATCGTCGCCTCATTATCTCCTCTAATACCACACTGTTCTAAAGACGCAAGATTTTGGCCTTAGGCCATATTCTTCGCGGGGAAATACCAAATTAGCCATAATATTCGCTTTCGTAGTTTTATCGCGTAATTCGTATTAATAAGTATTATAATGTCGACCTTCTCTTTCTTTGGAATTTTTAGAATTTCATGTAAAATAGAAAAAATAAAATATAATGGGTTTTACGCATTTTTGGAAAACTGAGATATAAAAATATCCAAAGTAGAATATGTTATACTTAGATTATGACTTCTTTAATTATGAATATAATAAATATAATTAATTAAAAATATAACATATAAATATTATGAATATAATTAAAAGAACGAACTAATCTAAATAAGAGAGTTGTTTCTTCTACACAGAATTACAATTAATATTGGATATTTTTGCATCTTCGAATTTCCATAAATGCATAAAGGTGCCCATAGCCCAATTATAATGCACAGTAAGTAAGTTCTACTTCTTCTATATGGCAATGTTCATGGAAGTTTTCAAAATGCGTGGAATCCGCGCTTCGACAATAACTTTTTACTTCGAATCACGCCAATATCAATCTCTTCAGTTCTTCAATCACGTCAGATCTAGGAAGAGATTATATCGAGAATGAAATTGTAAATTTTTCTTCAAACGTAAAACTGTATGTAGAACTCGCGGGAAGCTTGAAATTTGGATTTCATACTCTGTCAGCCGAGAGAGAAAGGTACGTTTACCGGCAAGCATTCTCCAGTGATAGTTCAGCCTGAGCAACTTGACCCTGTCCGAGAGACACTTCGACGAATCCTGTGGCCGATGCGACCCGATTACTGGCTAATGCTCTCAACTCGGAACCGGGATCAGCTCCAGGTGACAGAAGTAACAGCACCGGATATGTACCTTCGTTCTCGGCTACCTTTCTCAGGGACCAGTGCGGTGGCGCCAAATCTTTCACACCTTTTCAGAGAAAGAAGAGATTACAAGGTAAGAAATATACAGAGGTACGTAATATACAAAGGTACAGAAATATACAGGGTGTTTCGTAACTTGTGGGACCCACTTCGAGAGCTGATTGTACGTCTAAAAATAATGAAAATAACGTCATATAAATATATGTCCTATCTGTCTTCGTTTATGAGATACAATGAATTTTCTGTTTCAATTACTTTTACAAAAGATGCTCGATATGACCACCTTGCATTTGAAGACAAGCCTGCACGCGTTTTGTCATTCATCTGGTTACTCTCTCTATCATTCCTGATGTTTCTCGAATTTGTCGGAAGCCTTGCTCTATTCTATTTCGTAGTATTTCAGCATGTTCAATCGATGTTGCGTNTTGCAAAGTGTCGATTTAAAAATTGCCTAGCCACTCGGCTAAAATGCGGCGGAGCTCCATCATGCATAAACCGCATACGAACTCTAATATTGATTGGAACTTCCTCTAATATTTCGTGCAAACGCGTGCTCAAAAAATTAACGTACTTTGTGCCTGTTAGTTTCCCATCAAGAAAAAAAGGTCCGGTGAAAAATTTATCAATTATTCCTGCCCATACGTTTAAACTAAACTGGTGTTGATGTCTTGAATGCACAATAACATGTGGGTTTTCTTCATCCCAATTATGATTATTATGAAAATTGAATGTACCATCCCTGGTAAAACTAGCTTACTAGAGTTTGCTCTAGTTTATAAAATTCATTATATGTCATGAACGAAGACAGATAGGACATATATTTATATGACTTTTTTTCATTATTTTTAGGCGTACAATCAGCTCCCGGAGTTTCACAAGTTACGAAACACCCTGTATATTTCAACAACGTAAAGTGTCGATTCTATTCTATCAGAATGCTTATAAATATATTTTAAACAAACAATTTCTTTGTAATTCCTTAGCAATATTTAAATAATTTCTTTGACTTTTGAAATCATTTATTTATTTAACAGGAAGGCTCCATTGAGGAAAGGAAAGATCGATGAAAAGAAATTAAAAAGATGACGACAGTGAAATAAAGTAAAATAACACGAAACAGTAGAATAATAATGATGAGAAGGAAATAATATCGTGCTTTATTTACGAAACAGGGTAATTTTGTGCGCTATTTAAAAAAAAAGAAAAAGGAAACCATGAATGTAAAGTCGAATTGTTCGAGTTTAATTTTTTTGTAAATCTCGGAACAACCTTTAACACATATCAACATACTCTACATACAGATCATTATAATTAAAAAAATATTACGATAATTAAAGTAAAGCGAAATCAACGTTAATTTTGATTACAAGAATCTCTCGAGCAATTGTAAGAAAAAAAGAAAAAAAGAAAGAAGGAAATCTAAAATTGGTCGTCAGACCTTTTATTTATTTATCATTTTTTAATTTATTAACAGAAGATCGTGTTACCCAATACTTCAGCGGCCAGTTTCGAGAGAGCTGTGTGCAAATAGTCCGGACGTAGAGTCTTTATCAGTAAAATTTTTTGGAACGTGGTTAAGTTGCTCTCCGCGTAAATATTGCTGACGTCGTTCAACCAGGATTGCTTCATCCTCGCAGCTACCTGCCATGAGTTCCAAGGGAATCGCAGTTCAATAATGCCTGCAATTTGCAAATAGATTGACAACTTACTTGCGGGAACGACGAGGCTAACGCCCGGACTGATAGACGCCGTTCCTCCGGCACCCAGTCAGGTACTTTGTAGTCGGGATCCTCGTCGTCGTTTAAAGGGATTTCGCCCAATAAGAAATTTCTCTCGACGTCTGGCACGGAGTTTAACGAAAGCGCCAATTGCAACGCGACTGGCAATCGATGCTCCCTGTACACGGCCCTCGAGCAATAATGAAGAGTCAAAGCTATCAGCCTGCAATTTGAGTTGACGAGGCTTGTTGAGTTTGAAGAATTCGTTAATTCAAGAAATCGCGTCGCTCGTTCGTTCTTATTATTTTATTTTCTCTGGCAGGGCAGGATATTCAGCTCAATTTTCGAATGTCTCGAATTTCTTTTAAAGTTTTTTTTTTTTTTTTTTCAGTAACCTTCTAGAAGTCGGTTGAACTTTGGAATTTTTCATTTACTGGAATTTCGTTGATCAATATTTGTCACGGAGGATATAAATATAAGATGAAACAGAAAATTAAAAACGAACATTAAAAGTCATTTAACCTCTTGCGCTAGGATAACATACGTCGAGAATTTTTTGTTCCAAATTGCAATATTTCTTCAGTTTTAAGTATATTCAAGTATAACTCAGGCAAAACAAATGATAAATTTATTACTTCTCAATAATTTCTATCCAGTGATAATATACTGACGAGTTCAAAAGAAAAAGAAAGCGACGAATTATTGTGTACGGTTTGGTCACTCGTTATGGTCCGCGAACCAGTTGTCAGCGCAAGAGGTTAATATAAAAAAATCACCATCAAAATAATACTGCAATTGTTACTGTTGAAATAATTATAAATCACTGTTGATATAAATTACGCAATTTCAAATTAAAGTAGTCTTCTATCGTCTAAGTTTTGATGTAGAAATTTTAAAAGTCTCGTTTAACAGCTACTTCCTCGAGGAAGACTCGTACCGTTTCTCGATCAGCTTGTCTTGTTCCCTTTTGTCTTGAGACAGTATCGATCTCCTGTAATCTTCCGCCTCTAAATAAATATCAGTGAAAGCTTCCGCCGAGAACACGTACAGTGGATTCAATGCGGTGAGTCCTCTTACAGTTTTGTACAAGTTTGCAGCGAATTTGGCTAATTTCTCATGCTCTTTGGCTCTCCTGTGAACATCGTATGGTACAGATGAAGCTGGGATGAAAAATTGAAGCTTCGTTCCAATTACGACTATCCCGACTCTTGCGAAACTTTCTCCCTTTTTTTTCAGAAACTCGTCTCGCGACAGTGAATATTTATAAAAGGAAGTTGCCCGATGAATCTCAAGGTTTTTGCGAATTAAAAAACTTTCACGTGCAGGGGGTGGGTACATCGGGGCAGTGAAACCGTGGAAACTTTGATCAGCACGTTCGCGAAACTTCAAATTTCAAGCAAAAATATTGCATAAACTACGAAAGATGAATTTCAACGACATTTACTTCGAACGTCTGCGAAGTTTATTGATACTGACGATATGTAATTTGTGCTTGATATTTCACACTATTTTGTTAACACGATTCTACTTTATCGATTGAATTTATGCAAAATCGATATATTCGACTAGATATATTTTTTTTGTGAACACGAAAAATTGTTAGATTACGAATTGAAGTTTTCTAGAAGGGCGGTATTTTTTAAAATACCACCGTTCTGTAATTTTATTGTGATACGTGTTATGGTATAACAATCATTTGCTAAAAGAAAAACTCGGGAAATTTCGACTGATTTTTGCAAAATAATACGGTCCTTGAGAAGTTTTTAATTTAAATTTTACGTTATTTTGCAAATCGTGGCTAGTCTGTTGAATTTTCTTTCAATTAAAGCTGAAATTACTTGATTTTTATTTACGTTCTGTTTCTCTATATAAGAATATAATTATAAAATTATTAACATATAAATGTTAGAAGCAGATTTTCATTTATTCACATATTTATAGAGCGAAATGTAAAATAATTTAATTCTTACTAAACTTTTGCGGTGTGTTGATGATTTATCAACATTACTTTTTGAAACCGACTCTTGATACAAAAATAATTTCTCATTCTAGGTAGAAAAATATTCAATACGATTTTGCTCAAATTAATCATTATTAAAGAGATTAACTTTAATTTGACAGAACTAATCCTAACAGTGTTCATTGGATTTTGTACACTTTTCTGTTAGATATGATAACGATGAAATTCAACGTGAATGGTACATTTAGCATGGAACACGTTTATACATATGTAACACGCATGGAACATATTAATCTGTTAATCACTTTCTGGATTTACACGAGTGGTATATTTAATTCCAATAATGCTGCTGCTTCATGTGGGAGCAGATTATCTGTGAAGCACGTATAAGTTCTACAAAGTACACAGTTTCCACACCTCTGCAAGTGATAATTTCTTCGCTTTCGCAGAGAGACGATAAAATTAGCTGCAACAAGTTGTTACCCATGAAAAAGATACAAGTTGTAAAGTTTCCTTTTTATTTTTCAAATTGCAGTTATCAAAATGCAAATTGTAATTATGCGTACGTTTAGCAATTGATAAGTGGCATTTTAAATCCATTTTAATGAATGGTTTCTCCTTTCTTATTCAAAATTTTCACTCGCTCAGAATTACACATGTACGCACTCCCGTTTCAGAAATATGAAACACGATTTTCTTCTCGGGTGAAATAAATTTTTCTGGAGAAACATGACCGTTACAAATTACAAGTTTCACTCGTAAATATAGCTAATTACACTTTGAAATATTATTTTCGTAATTGGAATATTTATATATTATTACTTTATACATTCTTTTACAAATGAATCTTTTGAATAAAAGAGAAATTTTATTCAAATTTATTTAGTTTTGAATTATCTGACTACTAAATTAACTGCTCCCGATTGTAATTATTATACATGAGTCTTTCAATTGGCGAGTGGTGTAAGGTCCAAAATTAACAAAAATCATATTTATTTCATTTATCAATTTTTGATTTTATCAATTCAATATCGACTCTTGATTGATGAAAAATAACAGTCAATTTTTACATCGTGAATAAATAATGACATTTGATTGTTCGTCATCTTACCATTTTACTACTCAAAAGAATGTATCTTTCTCTCAAGTTACATATCGTCGTAAATATTATTCTTCCGTTTTGTTTTCTTACGATAAACCTACATTCTGTTTTCAATTTATTTTACATTAATTATTATAAAACGTTAAGAAGGAGGACTTAATCCACTTGTCAACTAAGAGGATCCCATGAACAATTTATATTATATTTCTACTATATTATTATATTGATACATATAAATATATAATTAATATATTAGTTCTTTTTAGTAAAAATTTTGATCAAATATATATAAATATATAAATTAAATATATATGATATATTATTATTAATTTATTATATATATATAATTAATTGTTATTATATTGATTATATATTTATATATTATATATATAAATATATAATTAATATATTTATATTAGATTTTTTTTTAGTAAAAATTTTGATCAAATTTAATAACGAACCTGGTAACATCTTCGAAGCTTCGTCGGCTCTCCTCAAGTGCAACAGCTATTTCCTTGGCTTTCGATTGAGTGGCTTCCAACGATGACAAAAGCCCACCGTGCGATCCTTCAGACTCCTGAAGGAGATCTTGACCTCTGGCCGTGGCCAGCTGCGCCAACAGATCCAATCTCGCGGTGTCCCGTTCCCCTGATAATTTTTCTTCGCGTTCCAATGCCTCCTTCCTCTGTGTCGCCAGTTCCGGCGTCTCCTTCAACAGAACCTGCCCCCCTCCGTCCATCGACGAAGCAATTAATCTTTAACTCTGGTATTTTACTTTCCACCAGACTCTCGATCTCTCATCGCTCAGAGAAGTTTTCCAATTTCATTGTCGGGCCACTCGAAATGAGTTGTCGTTCGAACAGATTCTTTTTCACTTTTTCTTTTTCCCTCCTCTTCTCTTCTTTTCTTTCTTTTTTTGATATTCCACTAGTGGAAGGAGAAATCAGGGAAGAGAAATCGTCTCTGGCGACAAGTTTGATAGGATTTTCCGAATAACGCGATAGTGGAAGTAACGTGGCTGTACTTTGTGAGTGAAATCGTTTCGAAATTTTACGATTGCGTTTTTTTCTATCTTTCCTGCTTAAAAAGTAATTGGATCGAAATTCTCGAAGTGAACGCGGTGTTCGGTCCTACAAATTGGCGAATCTCGAATATTTGCAGATGATACAGTTCAATAAAATTGATGTTAAATATTATTGCACACTGATTTTTAAGCTATTTTAACTCTGCGAAAGGGAATCGTACTGTAGCGGCCTAGAGTCCCTCGAGTACGAGTTTCGAACACCGACTTGTACAAGCCGCAAGTGGCTGTGCGCCTAGCGTCGAAATCTAACGATATTCGATGTTAAGCAAGCAGAGTGCGGAACACCGCTAGGATGGGTTGGTGGACCGTCGTCCAGCCTATAAGCGAGTAGTTATAACAACAAAGCGTCTGGGGTAAAAGAGGTCGGCTGCCATCAGTCCCATTGGATGAGTCTAGGCAGCGATTCTGAGACGAAACGCACAACCTTTTTACCCATCACCTAAATCCTATTCTTCCATCTCCTTCCTCCATCCTCCCACTAATTGTAAATAGTGTAAATATGTATATACCATAGACATATACTAACGCCATTCAACTAGTGATCGCCCGACGAATGATGTGAACACGGCAACCAAGCAAAATCGAGAAACATCAACAACAAAAGGAAAGGACGGCGACACACACCAGCGAGGATGCAACATCAGGAAGGACGCAGACGTTCATCGAAGGATGCAACATCGAGGAAGGAGATGCCACAACAACAGTTGTTGGCCACCACAGCATGTAGATTGGTGGCAATGGAGATGCGCTGATACACACGCAGCACCGCCACCGAATGCAGACAGTCGCAGAAAGGACAGTACGGCAACACGTCGAGGACTCTCAAAGAAAAAGCCGAGCAGCCATACGAAACGAACACGAGAGAAATTCGGGCCGTCAGGGAGTACGATAAAGAAACATCTGCGATACATACGCTAACGAAGATAGTCTCCGCGCTTCTAACATAGCCAATAAAAGTGTCAATAGAGAAAAATTCTAGTCGAAGATCATTTCATCCTGCACAAACATCCGCAAACGTCCCCAAAGTACGAAATTCTATTTCTGAGCTTATTTTGAAGCGTAATGCTTCTACATTTACGATCTATACTTCATTTTTCTACGATACTTGCATATCACGCAGCAGATAAGAGAGTCAACGTATATTTTTCCTTGAAAATTTCTCTAAGAGTTGAAACCTCTCTGTTTTTTTTTTCACGTCAGAATCATAGATTACAGATGTACAATTTCTTTTTGCCGTCTTTTTCGAGCTTCGAGGTGAGAAGTGCGCGTTTGTACCCCAAATGTACTTATGTACTTAGTGAATATTTTAGTTTCAGAAAGTGTATTTATATTGCAAAATTAATTTCAACTGGAATTTCTAAAAAGAGAATTGTAAAATCTAAATGAAATCTTTGCAGGAAAGCGAAAATCTAGCGCAGATCAAATTTATGGAAGCTGTAGGCATACGAGTGGCCTTTGAAACACTTTGAAAATAATATAATATCAAGGGTGCGAGGGTGAGAGAGAAAGATAGGATGCAGGCACGAAGACAGTGTCAACTTTGGTCATTAAATGGAGAAGAGAGAATAGGAAAAATTGGACAGAGCCAAGTGTGAAACAGAATCAATCTAATTCAGTTTAGTTAATATTTCAAATTTTAAGATAATAAAAAAAAGTACACACACACATATATATATATTAAATAAGATATATATTAATAGATATATAATAAATAACAGATATATATTAATAGATATATATCATATTAAAATAAATATATCTATCGACTGTAAAACCACCAAATTCAATATTTTCCTTACCTTCTCGACGAATCTCTCGGCCAAACTCTTGGTACCAGCGCCGAGAGCAATTTTGAACAGAACAGCGTCGACTTCCTTCGGGAAACCATCCAATTTGTCTCGTCTAGTGGCCAAGAAAAGTTTGAAGCCTTGAGGCGCGGGCAGTGTTCTTTCGCCGAGTTTCAGGGGACGTCTACGCAGCAATGGCAACAGAATCGATGGGAATTCAACGAGTTCCTCCACCAGTAACGGTTTACCAAACCGTACAGCCAATTCCAACGTGGTCAAAAATTTCGCATCCTCCGGCTTTGTGACCTCCATCCTTGAGCCGACGTTATTTTTCAGCCACGACACTGCCACACCGGACGGATCGATGAATATGGGGACCAAGGGACCACGCAGAGCGCACGATGCACCGACCAGACTTCCGGTGTCCGCTGGCAGACCCTGAGCTCGCCACAGTAGCCTTTCTCTCTCGGTAATCAAGAGATCTATGGCCGATTTCTTCCATTTGTCATCTTTCCCAAGATTCTGCATTCGAACGTGGATTTTTCAAGTGTTCGCAGATTGTCAGAATTCGCGAAATGATACGTTTGATTCTATTGTCACATGGTGTTAGCTTTTGAATATTATTATTAGGCTCGAGTTCTGGAACTTTCAATTATTGTTCGACAAACGTTTAATCATTTGCTACGAATTTCCTGATATTTAAATCGTTGAATATTGATAGAAATATTGTGGCCGATCGTAACTTTAGTTTCCTTCTTTTTTTCTTTTCAAGAATATTATTATTCAAGACAACTTTACAAATTAATAGAAGCATCGTAATCATTTCGAATTTTAGAATTAGCCCGATCATTTGACCAGCTGTTAAGTAATCGCGTTGCATTATTTACTTTGAAGTTTAAAATCCCCGATTACTCAGACGAAATGTTTAACTATTCTACACTTCTAGATCACATTCAAACATCAATGTTCCGACGTAAGGACAAATTGTTGCCACCTACTTCGTAAACGAGCAAAGACGCAACATTAGCAGCCTCGACGTCCAACTTTTGTTTCCTGTTGGTCAGTTTTTCTAATTGTGCCTGCCAGTCGCGATGCTCCGTGTCCAATTTCTGAAGCAAGGCTCTTGCAGTCGCTAGTCTCGCCTCTGTTGCCTCGGCACGTAGTTGAAGGGCGGCTGCACCCCTCGAGCGTTCCGCTAGTTCCTCTTGAAGCTGCGCCACACGACTTTCCACCGTGTTCAGCCCCTCTGCTAACTTGTCAATTTGAGCCTCTGCCGCTGACAAACGTCTGAAGTAACAATATTCATTGAAGCAACGTAACATAAAATTTGAAGATTTTTATTAATAAAATTATAACGACGTTAAAATATTAAATTTCAATAAAAATTATTTTATGACACATGGCATAACGGTCTTATCTGTTAATAAAATTTTAAACTTCTCGAATAGTTATAATTGGATGATAGAGAAAGAGAATTTAGCCAGTTTGCTTGATATAGGTTTAATCGATAATGATAAATAAAGCTTCTGAAATTATTGAATAAGTATATTATAGAATTAAAATTATTAATGGAAGCTTAAAAGACGAATCTTTATTTAAATGGAATAAAATTGGGAATATTTCCTTTAATTTTATACTTTTTTGGAATCGTTGAGTATCCAACAAGTATTATTAAACCTGTTCAATTACTATATCGTGTAACATTATAATACTATATTAAATCCTTTAATAATCATTGTGCCAAATCCTTTAAAATTCTTCAATACTGTCAAAGTTTTCAGATTGCAATACATTTTACATTTACCATTTCTCGTATTTAATTGCAAGATATTGACTAGACGAATGTTTATGAAAAAAAATTTTTTTAATATTTTCACCCACGTCAAATCATCTTAGGAAGAAAATCACAAATTTTGTCTGAGCTCGTGATCGTCTCGCGCTTCAAAATACGAACAAGTAGATATCTTTTTCTCACAAAATTAGATGTCAGATAATTCTTCATCACTAGCATTATACATGTTTGCATTCTTTCACCGTCTCTTTCACATTTTGCGTAAAAAGCCGCAGTAAAAACGGAAAAATACGTGGAGATGTGTAACACGTACTCGGCCAGCTGTCGTTGCTCTCTCTCGAGGGGCGCGACTTGCTGAAGAATCTGGCCGTATTGAAGGTTCGCGAGGACCCAGGCGGCCAAAGGGGCCGCGGCCACCGAAGCTCGTTTCGCGGTTTTCTCCTCGAAACTCTCCGGCCGCTCCTTGACCAACTTGGCAACCGCCTCCAGACTCAATGGTGTGCTTCTTCTCGCGTCCCACGTTCTAAATCGAACAAAGACGTTTACCACGTTTCCCGAACTCTCGCGTCGGAATAGTCGCTGATGAAACAGACGAGACAGGCGAGACTCGTTTTTCGAATTGTCCGATCAGCTCCGACCCGTGGTTTATACACCCAGATGCTCTGCTTACGGGCATCAACGAGTATATTGTTCGTCGGGTCGTTTCCAATGCGTTTCTTACGAGTCGCAGGATGAAGCAGAAGTGAACGTTTGATTGTTTGCGAAATGAGATTAGGTTTTCGTTCAAATATACAGCGACGACCGTATAAATATTGGGTATAGATTCAACATAATTTTGTATAGAATCGAGGCATACGTTGGAACAAAAATTCCAGTGTTGCTTGCAATTCAAGGATTTTTATTCGAGGCGAACGTTTCAATGTTTTGCTCAAATCTGTCTCTGATCGCTGCTCGAGGTCACAAATTTTGGAAATTGAATCGCTCTATTTCAACGCGAGAAATTTGTATCTTTTAAGTTCTATATTATAAAAAGGAGGATAGGGGTAAAATTTTTCGCGATGCAGTTACGAAATGCTTTCTCATCCCACGCAATATACTTAAACAAACTGTAAAAGCAGCAATTAATACAATATAAACTCTCGTATCAACACACAGAAGGTATTATATAGTGTACATTATTATATAATATTTATATTATCATAATTTATATATATAATATTATATAATATTTATATTATTATAATTTATATATATATTATATAATATTTATATTATCATAATTTATATATATAACGTTATATAATATTTATATTATTATAATTTATATATATATATATTATATGATATTTATATTATCATAATTTATATATATAACATTATATAATATTTATATTATTATAATTTATAATTTATATATATAATATTATATAATATTTATATCATATATATATTATTATTATATTATTATATTGTGTGCTTTCCTTGAAATACTGATATAAAATTGTGTCTCTCGTAACTCTTGAAGCAAACCACCCCCAAAAATAAAATTACCATGAAATTACTCTGTGAATCGCAATTTTTTTTTTTTTTTTGCAACGTTCACCTGGCGAAAGAATTTTACTTGCTGGAACAAGCGAAGTGAAGTTTTAAGGAGCTTCACAATTGCCACAGCGTTTACCTTATTTCGTCCTTAATACCGCGTTTCGCCAGGAACGTCTTCATGCTGTTCCAAGACGTGTCTTTTATGCCCATTAAACGAAGGACACCCTCGAGGACGTCTCTGACAGGCGCTGGAGGTGCTCTCAAAGAACGAACTTCCGCTAATGCGTCAGCGCTGATGCCAGCAACTGCTTGCGCCGCTTGTTCCACTAACGGCTCCACTTTCCCTAATTCTCCTTCGATTTCAGCCTGTGATTCAATTTTTGTTTTTTCGTTTTACTTATTTATTTAATCTATCTTGCTTGACTGGCTCGACTGAAGCAAATGAGATATCTACGATGTCAAGTACGTGCGAAGGAAACGTGATTTATCTGTCTCGAAAATTTTAAGGAAACGAGAAAGTTCTAAGGAGAAGTTTGAGAAACGAAAGTCACGTGGAAAAAATGTTTTTCGCGCAAATGTTATTACGGCGCAGTGTGTTCACCTTTCTGCGAGCCAATTCTGTGCTCTCCTGTTCGGTTTCGGCTTTCAAGTTGGCCATTTCGCCTCTCTGACCCGTGGCGCCTCTCATCGTCGCGGTGATCTGCTCGAGCGCTGCATTGGCACGTCCTTTCTCTGCCTGAGAAATTGAAAATTATTACAATTCATCGCGGGAAATGCAATTAATATTCGGTAATTCTGAATATATATGTACATATGTTGCAATATTAATTATTAAAAAAATTTTTTCATCTCTACGAAATAGTCGAATCGAATGCATTTTTTCCAGATCGTTGCACAATATTAACGATTTTTTAAAATTACTTTCAAGTTTTAACTTTTATTTTTGAATTTCAAATAAACTTGAAAATTTATACTTTTTAAAAAAAAATCACCAAACGAAATTTAGAACAATAATTGGAATAATTTTTAAAAAAATTCACCTTTTCACCCGCGTATTTTTCAAGCAACGTAATTTAAACTTTTTATTAAATAACATAGAATTTTATTTCAGGCGAGGGAGCATATTCGTTCACCTTCATCAATTGATGAAAAATTTTTAATTAACACAGCTTACCACGAATAATATTACAGCGGTAAATTTGGCGGAAACCATTGGATAAAACACAATAAAATTTTATTCCGCGTGAATAACCATATCACATCCTTTTATACATACTTTAATTAAATTGTTAATTACTACAGTCACAACTCAAATAATATCGCGGCAGTAAATTCAAGAAAAAGCAAATTGAACTTTCGTTCCACGCGGAGAAACATGCATCCCTTTACACACCAATTCAATTAACCAAAAACTATTAATCAATATCTCTAATAACGAATCTAATAGCGAGAAGAAAGAAATTTGACGAAAGATCAGAGAAAACAAACAAATAAAACGCAGAGAAATTCGATAGTCTCTTTGTACACGCAGCGTCATCGATTAACCAAATATTATTAATCAGTGTCTCAACGTCGTTTAGGTTGCATCAAGTAAACGCTATTCGCGAGTAAACTCGGTGAAAATTAACAACGTTAACGTATACCTCCAGCTCCTGACGCTGTTTCGAAACTTCGTCCTCCAATTTAGCCACTTGCGCCCCAGCTTCCTTCAACTTTCCCACGCCGGCATCGAGACTGTTCAATTTCTGCTCCACCTCTTCGTTCCAAGTCACGTGCAGATGCTTCCAAGTGTGCAGCAGAGCAAAGAATCGAGCAGGAGCTTGCTGCTGTCGCGATGCATCGAGATGTGCCTTCACCATCGCTTTAACGCCAGCCGGTGTTTCTTCGTGGCTCTCGGCGTCGTGGCCGATTTCCTGGCAGGCTATCTCGGTCAGAGCACCTTCCCAGCACCACCATTCGCTGCCAAATCCAGGACCGATCAACGCACAATGCCCGAGAAGTCCGGAACGCGACAACCAAGGCGAACGAAGCTCTTTGCTGTCCAGGATTATGGCCACTCGAAGGTAATTGCGTAGACCTGTGAAATTGTATAATATAGTTGAAGCACTGTAATACATGTATACGATAGTGATATTAATTTTCAATTCTCGAATTCTCTAGTTTCTTAATTTTTCTAATTTCCTGACTCTTTGATTAATTCTTTCAGTTTCTGAATTTTCCAAATAATTTCTAATAATTAATAATTTCCAAGTTTTGCCAATCTTGTCATCTTTATAAATTTTTAACTTCCGACCTTTGCAAATTTCTGATTTTGTTAATTTTCCAACGTTTCTAATTTCTCTGATTCCCTAGTTTTCTAATTTCCTAATTTTTCCTAAATTCCTAATGTCTTAGTTTCCCAATCGCCTTAGTTTGTCAATTTTTTAAAATTTTCTAATCTTTGTAAATTTTTAACTTCCGACTCTTGTAAATTTCTGATTTTGTTAATTTTCCAACGTTTCTAATCTCTCTGATTCCCTAGTTTTCTAATTTCCTAATTTTTCCTAAATTCCTAATGTCTTAGTTTCCCAATCGCCTTAGTTTGTCAATTTTTTAAAATTTTCTAATCTTTGTAAATTTCTAACTTTCGATTTTTGCAAATTTCCGATTTTGTTAATTTTCCAATGTTTCTAATTTCTCTGATTCCCTAGTTTTCTAATTTCTCTAAATTCCTAATTTCTTAATTTCCCAATCATCTTTGTTTGTCAAATTTTTAAATTTTCTAATTTTCCTAAACTTCTTAATTTTTCAAGTTTCTGCAAGTTTCTGACTTCTTAATTTGCCCAGCTTTTAATTTCTTAATCAGTCAATTTTTTTAATTTTTCAATTTTCCCAAAATTGCTAATCTCTTAATTTCTTAATCGTCCAATCTCCTAATTTTCTAATTTTCCTAATTTTTATGTTCTCCGTCAGTAAATTTCGTAAAGAACGCGCCAATATTTTCACCGGAGTGCCACTATATGTCTATCAGCACACGCTGTGTCTTATTGGAGACGCTGAAGAGGTTTGAGATATGACGTACGATGATAGAGATATTGCTCCAACATGCTGGAAAAATCTTCTCTTCTTGCTACGTCAGCCAACGGCGCTATTAACCCGTCGAGTTCCTCCACTGTAAATAATCCTGGAAGTTCCCCTCTCGACACTATTGCACTGGCCAAAACAGCCAAGCCAGCTTCCCTCATATGATGCTCCTCTAGCAAAAGCAAAGTCGGCTCACCGTCGATTCCAGCGGCTTGAACTGCCGTTTTCACCGATGTTCGACCACGACCTGAGGGATTCAGTTCTCAAGTAGTTATTACGTGACATACACAATGGCAAATATGGGAGAATACTCGTTTATTTACTCGTTTATTTGCTCGTTATTAACGATTCTCTTCTAACAGTAAAATCAAATTAAAATGATTTTATAATTAACATTAACAAAACCACCTCAACTAATTTTCGTTAATTTTAACAATTTTAGATTCTATCAATTTTAATACCCTCGTTCGTTTCATTTATTTAGTATTATTTTAATTTAGTATTAATTTAATACTGAAACTATTTACGTTTATTTTAGGAACTTTTCTATTAATATTGGATCATTAAAGTGCAAAAGAAATATATACGAGGCTTCACACGACGTTAAGTAGAATATGCACCGAACCGTATCTCGCCAGACTCATTCTACAACCTGCAGCGAGCGTTTGAATAAAACTCCGCGTTTTTATTTCTTCTCTATTGAATTGCGTACTTTGTTCTTCTTATATAATTGTACTATAAAAAGTGGAATTTTAATTTTCTTCGTGGCACGAAATTTATATTAATTACACTTCTGATAGATGCTTTGGAACAGTAGGAATGAAAAAAATCTCGAAATAAAAATTGTAAACCGTATGAGATTATAATTGTCAATGATACTATAATGAGATTAATAATTGAAGCAATTTGTGAATTTGTTGGATTTATGAAATTTATGAAATTTATAAATTTTATCTTTGCATTTAAATTTTATACAGTACCTGGACCCGAGTCTATCAGACGAAGAGAGGAATACATGGCAGCGAGTCTCACTGCTGATTTTCTTCCAGCACCGGGTCGTCCAATTAAAATCACACCCCTCAGATTCGTTCCAAACGTCCAACTCAAACCTGAGAAAACATGGAACGAGAATCGTTGAGTATTATTCATACATCATATATTATATCTATTCGTGCTATTCAATCGTGTTTATTATACAGAATATCTCGTTCAAAAAGCTTTTTATACTTGATGGACTCTATAACTATTAAATGTATTATTGTTAATATAAAATCCTATTAATAATATATTACTAAATTTCTAAAAACTATATTACAAAAATAAATATTATATAATATATTGTTATATAATATAATTATGTTACTAGAATTCTATCAAATTAGTTAATATATTACTAAATTTAATAGATAAATTAACCGTATCAAATTTCCGAAATTTCCGTTTAGTTACAATCAAATTTTACATAAACACCAAATTCGATTAAATCGGCTGGTATTGCAGATTTGACACGGAATTGTAACTCTGTGTAATAATAAACGACAAAACAAATTCATTAAAATATAGTGTTAATAACATTGAAAAGACATATGCTTGAATAATTGATATAGATATTTCTAAAATTAATAATATATCTTGAATAATTATAGAAAGTCGTAAAATTAAAATTCAATTCGTTATAAAATTTCTGAATAAAATTAAAATTAAAATTGTCCAGAAATTAAATTTGACGATAATCGAATTGATAAAGGTACAACAAAAATGTCGTCGTAATCGACGACAAACCGCCGCGTCAAATAAACGACCGCGTAAACGTCGACCGTCGAACGAAAGATGGGAATAAAAACGATCAGTCACGCGGGCGTTATCTCGTTAAATTTACAAAGTGGACAGTTATTGAACAAACGGGTATCGGATGGATTAAGCTCGTTTGGAAATAACGTAATATTAAGTTAATTTAATGTGCTTACCGGCCACCGTGTGCAACAGGTGAGACGAAATCGATGCATGTACCGGATCACCTTCCCTCGCGCATCTCGCTGCTGCGTTAATTATCTCCTTCCGCCACTGTTCCTCGTCCAGCGCCAGCAACTCATTGTTTCCACATTTCCATGTGTACACATCGCCTCCCACCGTCACCGACGTCGAGGTCTTCGAAAGGATAATGGATTCCCAGCGAGCCTGATCTTTCGACGTCAGCCTGGCTCGATCGAGAATGAACGAAAGTGAACTCTTTGCCGTCAAGGAAAAAAAACGTAAAAATAGGGGAAATACTGGACTTTTCTTCAATTTAATTGAAATGTAAAAGTCGGGAAATACAAGCTGGACTTTTCTGTAATTCATTCAATTGAAATGTAAAAATCGGGAAATATAAGCTGGACTTCTCTGCAATTTACCTAATTAAAATGTAAAAAGAGGGAAATACAAGCTGGACTTTTCTGTAATTCATTCAATTGAAATGTAAAAATCGGGAAATATAAGCTGGACTTCTCTGCAATTTACCTAATTAAAATGTAAAAAGAGGGAAATACAAGCTGGACTTTTCTGTAATTCATTCAATTGAAATGTAAAAATCGGGAAATATAAGCTGGACTTCTCTGCAATTTACCTAATTAAAATGTAAAAATCAGGAAATACAAGCTGGACTTTTCTGTAATTCATTCAATTAAAATGTAAAAATCGGGAAATATAAGCTGGACTTCTCTGCAATTTACTTAATTAAAATGTAAAAATCGGGAAATATAAGCTGGATTTTTCTGTAATTTATTTAATTAAAGTGTAAATACAAGCTCGATTTTTTTTCAATTTACTTAATTAAAATGTAAAAATCGGGAAATAGAAGCTAGAGTTTTCTTTAATTTTATTTACTTTGACTATGTTTAATTGCGTTAAAATTATTATTACGTTTAACAAACGCTAATAACAATTACAAGAGTTACGAAGAGCGTAACTGTATTCGTGACAGTGGAAAATTGTCGATAATTTAAACTGATATATAATTTCGAAAAACGACGATCTGTTTGGTCTCATTCTAAAACGCGAGCTTTCTACTTTCACAATCGTGAGTTTGTTTCTTTCGAAGAAAACTTTCTATCGTGTAACGAGTGGTATCGTGTAAAAATGTGTAAAAATATCAAAAAATTTGTTTCGCAACAAAATTTGCCACAGTCTTGAAGATTAAAATTTTCTCTTCCCTTAAAATTCGCTACACGATTTTTCTCCGCCATTTTATTAAACTTGAAACGTTACGGATTTCTTGAATTATTTTCATTCAACCCTAATATTCAACGTTCGATAAAATAGTGAAAAAAGTATCGTACAACAAGTTTTAAGAGAAGACTTCAATCTTTGAAGTAGTCGTAGATTTAGTTATGAAAAATATTGTTTTACATAATCTGAGTGACGTTTGAATTTTTACAATTTTCAAAAATGAAAGTATTCTTTCACTCGCGACATAATATGAAACAAAAATGGACTCGCAAATGGTCACTGTTTTCCTTTGAAAAAAGAGGAAACGAACTCAGAACTGTCAAAGTACGGATATTAAAAAAATAAACTTAACTGAATATCTTTGTAATTTTGGAAAGTTTAAAATATCAACAAACCTTTTCAATCGGTTGTCGGTTCAGTTATGCTCTTCACTCTATGTGTATTTAGTTTGAATAATTTTCAGTATCACGAGTCATAAAATTCGACGAAAAATGTGAAACATAGGTATCAATGTATTATAATCTCTAACAATTATTAACAGAAGAAACACCTGATAAATACATGCAAATTCAATATATAATATCGTTTCAATATATAAAATCGTAGAAATGAAAATTGAGATTGGAGGTTCAAGGCTGGGACACATCGGCTGAGAAAATATCCTTACCTAGGATGGAACAGACGTTTCCCAGCATCGAGTAAATGACGTGTGATATTCGACTCGTCCTCCGGAGAGGGATAATACTTCAAGCTGTCTGCCCACAAGACCAAATCCTTCGGCGTCCAATCGATGGACGAGCCATAAGAAGATTTGATCGATCGAAATGCGTCTAGCATGACAGGTGCCATTTGCGCGATCCAAGATTCGATCATAACGTGATCCCCTTTCAAAGAGTCCCTCAGATGCAATTCCAAGATAGCCATCATGTCCTTCGAACTTGGATATCTATTTACGAAATGGACGAATTTTTTTCAATATTAAATTACAATTTAAGTGTGCAATTTGATGCCATTAAAATTGAGACAGAGTACCATTTCACGTTTATTGGAATATTTCTCGTAAAAAAGAAAAAAATGAATTTTTATAATTCAGAGGCTGTCTGAGAGAAGGATCCATAGATAAAATAATCATAAGCATTCGATAATTATAATTTAAAGACTTTACTAAAGAATATTAGAGAATTTATATTTAATGGAAAAAATATATATCTTGGATCTTTTTATAGAAAGATTCTCAATTGGGTAGTACTAAAATGTATAATATATATATAATAAAAATTATTATTTTTCATTATTATATTTATCATAATATTATATATATAATAAATATAATAAATTATATATATATTATAAAAAATATAATATATATATAAATAGTATTATAGTATTTATTTATATATTAATAGTACTATATATTATATTATAAATATAATAAATTATATATATATTATAAAAATATAATATATATATAAATAGTATTATAGTATTTATTTATATATTAATAGTACTATATTATATATTATATCATAAATATAATAAATTATATATTAAATATTATATAATAAATATAAAAATATATATTAAATTATATAATTTAATATAATTAATATAAAATATAATATAATATAATTAGTGTAATATATAAAAAACATATATTAAATTATATAATAAATATAATAAATTATATATTTTATAATATATAATATATAATATATATATATATATATAAATAGTAAGTTTCAAGAAATTCCGAAAACTTGATCGGAAATTGATCAAATTATTCCGAAAATTGATCAAATTATTCCAGCGTGAGAATAGTTACGGGAGATAATGAGTGGACAAGAGAGCTTCGAGTCTCGGATGCAATCGAGTGGTCGCATCAGCTGTGCATATAATCGTCAGTGGTACTCTAGCGAATTCCAGATCTTCCTCGTGAAATCCTCCTTCTTGAATCAATTCTCGCGCCAGTTCCTAAGCAAATCGCATTCTCGTGTAACGCAATTATTTCGAACGAAGTTTATTTTTTAATGACTCGACAGACGAGGCAGGCTACCTGCAAGTCGTTCGATGCAAGGTGCACGTCCTCCATGATCAAAACGACCCTGGATCCGTTTCTAGGTTTGTACGTTCTTCCGTGGGAGGAGGAATTTAGTTGCACGCAGCCTCGTTTCAACTTGGTCACCAGATCTTGAGGCCCGTACAGAGACGAACCTTTTATCAAAGTCGATTGCTCGACGTTCCGTATCGAAGAAAGTACGACAGATATCAGTGCACTTTTCCCACAACCCGCTGGTCCTCTTATCATAATCGATTGGCTGTTTCTGATCCATGGCAAGACGGACGACAATGCTCCTCTCATTGCGCCTGAAATAAATTTTGACGACGACGAACTTGTCATTGAACGATCAAAATTATTTTGTACTTCATTATTAGTTTTTTTTTGTATTTCGTTATTTTATGTTTCATGATTGAGTTGTACAAATTGATCAGTTTAGCATGTTATGATTCCTGTTTGGTTCGAATGAGAATTTGGTTAGAATTTGATTAATTTACCTGATAGTGAGACAGGGCCATCGTCAGTGTCCGTGGATTCATCAGCGTCGCCAATAGCTTCCAATCTGTCCGTATCTTGATTATATACTACGAAACACGGTTTCTGCGGGTCCGGACACCTGGAAATTCGATCAACTTTGGTTACCTGCTTCGCGAAAATGAAAAATACAAATATTGATGTATTATCTGAATGTATGTTAATTACAAGAATTTCTGAAAATTGAGACTTTTGTTTCGTAACCCTTTGAATGTTTAATAAAATAATAAATTCTAATATAATATAAAATAGTTATTCTTCTAGGTTCAAAATTTATGTTATATATAAGTATACGGAATAAATATTATATATGGAAATTTAACATATTTGAAGGTAAATGTACGTGTTCTTAATTTAGTATATCCCTTATTCGAGTATTGAACTTGATTTTATTGAGCAATCAAAGGGTTAAAAAATATCGTACAATATCAAAGTCAAAGATTACGTCAAAACATTCAAATCTCGTCTGAAAAAAATTTTAAAATTCTATCTATCTTTAGTAAAATAAAATTGATAATTTTCTCATCAGCAGTCAGTGAGTTTAATAATGAAATTACCTTATAGACATATTATAAAATTACTTGATAATAAAATACTTATATATAAGTATATGGAATAAATATTACATATGGAAATTTAACATATTTGAAGGTAAATGTACGTGTTCTTAATTTAGTATATCCCTTATTCGAGTATTGAACTTGATTTTATTGAGCAATCAAAGGGTTTAAAAATACTGTACAGTATCAAAGTCAAAGATTACGTCAAAACATTCAAATCTCGTCTGAAGGAAATTTTAAAATTCTATCTATCTTTAGTAAAATAAAATTGATAATTTTCTCATCAGCAGTCAGTGAGTTTAATAAT